AGAGTTCTGAGAAAGAGAATGGGTACAAATGGATGTTTGAAAGGAGATAATGGATGACTGTTTCCAAAATTGTTGAAAACAACTTGTTCTCCAGATTCAGAAAGACCAATATCTCTAGAACAATAAATATCACAAAGAAACTGCAAAATGTCCCAAAGTATTCAAAAGCAGCCGGAGAGAAAAGTTAGATTGCTTGTGGAGGAATGACAAACAGATTGATAGCATTGAATAGTGGAGGCTAGAAGATGATGCAGTGTCATCTTTTGAAATAATAGCCAACTTAGAATTATATATCCAGCAAACTGTCTTTCAAGAATGAGAATAAAGACATTTTTAGACAAATGAAATCTGAGAGGGTTTACAACCCAAAGACCCTCCAATTAAAGGAGCTTCTAAAGGTTGAATTTCAAGAAGGATAATAATTTCAGAAGAAAGGTCTAGGTGCAAGAAGAAATAATGAGGAAAATGATAAAGTCATGAATAACTCTAAACTGTTGGGGGGAAATAGGGGAGTGACAGCGGGGGGAGGGGAGTTGGGGAGAGAGAGCATGGGGAGAAGTGCTAGATGTGGGTGATGGGGAGGAAGGCAGCAGATCACACTGCCACGTGTGTGCCTATGCAGCAGTCTTGCATGTTCTTCACATGTACCCCAAAACCTAAAATGCAATAAAATTAAAAAAAAAAAAGAAGAACAAGAAGAAGATCTTAATTTATGATTTTTCAAAGGTCACAATAGAACTGAAATTCTGGAAAACATGAGTACATAGCTAGGGAAGATTAGGTCAGTGTACGGTGCTGGTATGACTAGAATTAAAATATTCTTAATTTTTTATATTGTTTGGGAGGAGAATAAAGATAACTCATTTTAGACCATTAAGTTAAATATACATGTTAAAATTTATAGAGGGCCCATTAAAATAATAGAAACAATTCAGTAACTTCCAGATTAATTGGGGTTAGGGCATTAGAATGTAGAGGGAAGCAGATTAGTCCGCATGTGGGCCAGAAAGAAAAATGATAGAAAAAGCCTAAAACCCAGTGCCGTGCTAGCTAGAAGAGAAACACAAGGAAGTAAAGAACGGGGGAAACCCAATAACTACCAACAAACAGAAATTAAGATTTTCAGGACACTATTTTCAATATCATCAAAAATATGAACTTGTTAGGGGAAATCTAAAAGCAGATATAACAGACCTGCACTGAGAAAACCATGAAACACAGGTGAAGAGCAAATTGTTACCTATTCTCCTCCCAAACAATATAAAAAATTAAGAATATTTTAATTCTAGTCATACCAGCACCATACCCTGACCTAATCTTTCCTAGCTATGTACTCAGGTTTTCCAGAATTTCAGTTCTATTGTGACTTTTTAAACACTGTAAATAGAGATCTTCTTCTTGTTCTTTTTTCCCTCTGGCTACTCTTCCTGGACTTCTTCTTCTTCTTTTATACATCAGTCTTTGTTTAGAGTTATTCATATCATCATCATGAGTCAGAAGACTAATTAAGTGAAGAGCTATACATGGTCATGGGTCAGACATACCAGCAAACTTTCCTGTACAAATTGACAAAACAGGTTCTAAAAATGTATGCGGAAATGCAGGAGACTTAGAATGGCCAAAACGGCCTTGAGAAAGAGGACAGCATAAGTGACCAGCACTAGGCGAAGGTTCCTCTTTTCAACAAATTGCTGGAACAGCATAGCCATGTGCATACAAATGAACTTCCATACTCTTCACCATGTACAAAAATTAAAATGGATTACAGAGCTAAAGTAAAACTTAAAACTTATAAACCTTCTAGAAGAAAACCTTTGTGTCCTTGAGTTAGGCAGTGACATTTTTAGATAAGACACCAGCAGCATGATCTGTCAAAGAACAAAGCACTAGGTTGAACCTCATCAAAATTTAAAACCCACGGACTTCAAAAGTTACTGTGAAGAGGATGAAAAGAGAAGGCACAGAGAGAGAACATTTGCAAAGCATGTATTTCATAAAAGCTTTACATCAAAGCCAGCAGCAGCTTTTTCAAACGGTAAACATACTCCTACCATATGATCCAGCTGTTCGCCTCCTAAGTATTTATCCAAGCAAAATGAAAGCATATGTCCATTCAAAGATGGGTACACACATGTTCATGGCATTTCTCTGTGTAGTCGTCCCAAACTAGAAACAATTCAGTCCATCAACAGATGAATGGATGAATGAGGTGTGGTATATCCATGCATTGGATGCCGCCCAGTGTTTATAGAAATGAGGTATTGGTACATGCAATGTGGTGGATGAACCTAAGGTAATCACCCTGCGTGGAGAGGCGAGACCAAAACCAAATGGATGTGTCATATGACTCCCTTTATTTAAAAGTATTGGAAATGTAAGCTGATGTGTAGTGACACAAGTAAGTCAGTGGTTGTCTGGGACTGGGAGGGCTCAAAGGGAGGATTTAGAAATGGGCACAAAGAAACCTTTGGAGCAGTAGGCGTGTCCACTACCTTGGTTGTGATGTGTTTTCCTAGGTGTACGCATATATCAAAACTTATCAAATTATAAACTTGAAATATATAAAGTTTATTATATGACAGTTATACCTCAAAAGAGCTGTTTAAAAGATATTACCTAGCGGAAACTGATACGTAGTTGTAGCCACATTAAGATTCCTGCCTTCCCACTAGAGACTCCAGAGCAAAAGTCCGGCTTGCGGTAAGAGATGGTACATATTTATATTGCTCCGTACACCAGAAGAGAAAACAATTTTGAATTTATGTGCTCCTGATAACGTAGCTCCCAAACACAGAAAACAAGGATGGGCAGAACCATAAGGAGAAATATGTGAACTCACTATCATAATGGGAGTTTTGAAACATACCTATCAGTTGTTGATAGATTATAAGCAGTTGAGAAAAACAGTGAGGGTCTATATATAGGAAACGTGGAGAACACTGTTGACTCACTTTATTTAGTGGACATGGTCAGGGCACACTACCCAGCAGCTCTAGAATACATACTCTCTTTGTGTTTGCTGATCTGCCCACAGCTCGCTGGTCATTCCTGTGGGTCGTTCTGCCCTTGGTGTTTATTTCTGGCCTGAGTCACTGGCCACCGTGTGGGCTTGTGTGTCCAGGTGCCTCCCTCACGTCTCCACCTGGATCCCCGTGACTTAGACTTGGCAGTTCCAAAGAACAGCCCACTGTCTCCTGCGGCCTTTCACACGCACCTTTCCCTGTCATAGGAATTGGCATCTTCACCCTTGCAGCTGTCGAGGCCAGAAGTGTCGGAGTGGCCCTTGGTTCCTTTCTCTCCTACCCCAGATCTCATACATGTTGGTGTATTTTTTTCTGCACGACCTTCAAAATACGTCTCGAATTTGTCTCCCCACAAGCTCCCCTGCCCCCTCTTGAATTTGTGACTACCATGGTGCCCTAACCTGCCTCCTGGCCCTGCTGGTTCTACCCCCCCACCCTGCCATGTGCCGCCCATTCTCAGCATGGCCTTTGGAGGGATGCTCTGAAGACTGTGTATTTCCCTGCCCAGAGCTCTGAGGATCTGGACCCCACACGCACCTGCAGTCGCCCATCTCCGCTCACCTTGCTCTGCGGTAGCTGTGCCGTCTCCTAGCTGTTTCTGGAATGTGCCAAGCAGCTTCTAACCACAGGATCTCTGTGGTTCCTGTTGCTTTTACCTGGAATGTTTCTCTGCCATGTGTCTAAATGCCTTTTCTGGCCTGGCGTGGTGGTTCACTGCCAGTACTTTGGGAGGCCGAGGCAGGTGGATCACCTGAGTTCAGGCGTTCGAGACCAGCCTGGCCAACATGGTGAAACCCTGTTGCTACTAAAAATACAAAAATTACTCTGGCCTGGTGGCGGGCACCTGTAGTTCCAGCTACTCAGGAGGCTGAGACAGGAACATTGCTTGAACCCGGGAGGCGGAGGAGGTTGCAGTGAGTGGAGATCGTGCCACTGCACTCCAGCCTGGGCGACAGAGCGAGACTCCATCTCAAAAAAGAAAATAATAAGCACCTTTCTCTCTCTGGATGTTTGCTCAGCCGTCACCTTAGGTGACTGACGGTTGTACTGAGGTGGCATCCGCCTGTTCACACACAAACGCCCTGCTCTTCCTGGTCCAGCCTTGGCCTTGTTTTCTCCATAGCACGTCATCTCACGCACCGTACATTTTATTTGTTTACTTAATAAACCATTGACAGTAGTCCTATAGACGTTGCATGGGCGGTGGCACCCCAAGAGCCGGAGTTTTGGGGTCTTTGCAGTCTTCGCAGTTGGCAGCATGTGCTTGAAGGAACAGCACTGCCAGGGTGTGCAAGCCCCGAGCCTCCGTGTGGGAGAGCCTCTGGGGGCTGACCGTGGGCAGGGTTTCCAGGATGAGTAGGGGTGGCTAAAGAAGGGGCAACGAGAGCGGCACGTCTGATGGCAGTGAGGAGAGACGTGGCGGTGACTTGAGGAGTGTGAGCCGCGTCCTTCCGCGCCTGTGGCTTCCCATCAGCTCCCCTTCCCCGTTCATTTCCCAGGGAGACCTGGACTCTGTCTGTGGCCCTGGGCCCAGTGCCTGATCTCTGGCTTGACTGGGCCGGGCCTGGCTCAGTCTCGTGTCGTCGTCTGTGGAGTGGAGAGGGCCTTCCTCCCAGGCCTGTCGTGGGGAGCAGCCTCTGTGCCTGGCGTGGCACCCGGGCACGCTGAATTTGTCTCTTACCCGTTTTGGCTATTGTGTGTGCAGGAGAGGCGAAGGAAGTCTGCTGCGGAGGCTGCCTGAGCTGGATCTGCTGTTCACATGCTGCTCCTCAGGCTGCTGGTACTTAAAGAGAAAATGGTGTTTGTTTTAATGAGATGAGAGTTTCGAAATTAAGGCATTAAGTAAAGTAAGGCAGCACAAGCTTTGAATTTCCCTGAACCCTGACTAGATAAACCCCGACCACCGCAGACAGCCTCACGGCGATGTCACCGGGTCCACACGTGACAGTTTCTCTGTTGGTTCTTTTTCTCTTTCAGTCTGAACCCGAGGGCTTCTCTCATTTCCACTTGTACGTGTGTGCCGCGTTTCTCGTGAGATGGAGGAAGGAGATACTGGAAGAAAGAGATTTCCAAGTAAGTAAATGCCTTTTCAAAGGAACCCAAGTTTGATTTTCTACTAGGAGAGAGGTTTGTTAAATTGGAGTTCACGGGGTCATTTGTGGAAGAGTTTTGAGGAGCACTGCTTTGTGTTTTCCCCGCTGACCTGCTGGTTGAAAGCTCGTCCAGCCGAGGAGACGGGCCTGGCAGTGGTCACGTGGCCATGGCGGTGGAAACACGGCCCACATGATGAGTTATTAGACGCGGCTGGGTGACAAGCTCCCCGCGGAAGCGGCATTGGGCCGGTGTGCCCTTAGCAGCGTGACCCCTGCAGGGTGCAGCGTGTGACCTCTGGTCTCTGGAAGCCTCTTCACAGCACCCGGACTGTGATGCTTTGGGGACAGGCCTGGGTGAGAAATCACATAGCCTGGGTTCCCTTCGGCCAGGCCACTGGGAACTCTGAGACTGAGGGCATACTGTTTAACCTCACTAACCTGGCGACTTAGTGGGAGTGCCCTCCTTGCACCCCACTCATCAGAGGCACGTCCTGTGGGGCTCTGTGCTCCACCTGTGGGACCCCCTGTGGACTTGTCTCCAGTACCTGACCCACCCCACGTGTTTCTCTGAGACGTCGCAAGCGCCATGTGGACTGTCCATCCCTTCATGGGTGATACCCACTGTTCCCAGCCAGAGGTGCTGGCCAGGAAGTCCCTCTGCCCAGCGTTCACTCCACAGAGGGCTCTAGGTGCAGCGAGGAAGACCCCAGCCGTGGGAATCAGACCAGGCTCTGCGCCAGCCGGCCGGGGTCAGCCACGCTCCACCACCCTGCCTTCGCCAGGCACTTGTCTCTCAGATAAAGGGACAGTCCCAAGTCCCCAGGGCAGTGTTCTGTGCAGCTGGCAGCTTGTTGTACCCCAGCTCTGTGCTTGTCAGAGGCTCCGAGCATCTCTGCTCCTTCCAAGAGCCTTGGGAGGAGCCAGGGAGGTATGCCGCCTGCTTCATCTCCACCCTAGGGGAGACCAGACAGGTGAGGGCCCTGCTGAGGCCAGGAGCTGCCAGCGGGCCTGACCCAGCAGATGGAGCCTAACCCGGGTGTTCATGGGTGGACGGGAAAGGATGCTCCTTCGGCTCACTTAGCTCTTGGCCTTTTTGTCAGTGTGGGGCTCAGTGGGGAGCACTGGGGCAGTAATTGGAGTCTCAGTCTCAGGCACACGCCTGCCTTGCCTCTCCCAGCCACGGTCTGTAACTGAGTAGAGTGTGCCTTACCCAGCTGCCCACCTGCCCGGCTGGTGCAAGGCTGCTGGGGGCTCCCGGACCATCTGGCCCACTTGTGACTTTGCACAGGGGAATGTGGAGGCTCTGAGAGGGGCCATGACTTGCTGTGTCACCAAGTGAGATGGAATGAATGGAGCCTAGACTGCTGTCTGCTGGCACTGCCAGCCCTCCCCCACAGCAGGCTCTCCATCCGTGCAGAGAGCAGTGCTGGCTGGCCACTTACCTGTGGGGAGAAGGGCCCAGCCTCTCTGGTGCACAGCAGCCACTCCTCGTGGGACGGGGGCCAGTGTGATTGGTTCCCACCAGCCAGCACACACGCCTGCATGCTGCCTCCCAGGGACCTTGCTCTCCAGATGCAGGCGGCCGGCTGCTGAGAGTCAGTCACCGGGCTGACCACGGAGCTTGCTGTTCCTGCCTTGGCGGTGTCCGTGACTCACTGGCTGGGGAGCTCTGTTCCCTGGAGTCCCTGGACAGACGTTGCTGCCCTCCTGGGTCAGCCATGCCTGGTGGTAAGAGGTGGGGTGGGTCGGGGTGACGTGTGTGCCTGCAGCCACAGGGCACTGTGCACAGGCCTGTGCGAACAGGAGACCATGTCTGATCATCCCCAGAAATTGCCCTGGGCCCCACTCTGGGCAGACTCCGAGCCACACATGTACGAGGAATGGCCCCTGCTCACATTCTGGCTTGGGACAGAGAACAGTCAAGAGATGACTGACTTCAGCAAAAGGCTGTGCCTCCATCGACTCCTCCATTCTCCTATCTGCTCCCAAATGGGAACAGTGCCGCAAGGTGGCTGGAGGCAGGCCAGAGCCACATTGGTCATGGGAGCTCATGGCGGTGTTTCTTCCTGTTGTGATTACCTGCAATGGAGTGTTACACCGGCCCGGGAGCCCCTCAGGGTGAAGGACAGGAGATGGGGACAGCCGTGGATGCCAGGGTGCCTGAGCCGGGTCTGGGGGAGCTGGGTCATGAGAGGGTGGTGTTGGGTTGGCAGTGGGGCCTCCTACCACACTGTCATGTGGTAGCCCCATCCAGGGGTCACCGGCTGGGACAGACTTGGCCCAAGCCACAGAACTCATGGCAGCCTTGACGGATGCAAACGGCACAATGCGCACCTTCCTCACCTGGCCGCAGCTCATCAGGCTTTTCTGTTAGGGATGCAGTGTGTTTGCTGCTGGGCCAAAGGCATTGCCCTGAGTCATTAGAGTGCAGCATGGGCAGCTGATGAGAATGCTTTGCCAGCCTTCTCTGAGCCCTGTCTGCTTGACTTGAGGTTAGGGAGGATAGGTGTCAGGCACAGCTGTATGGCCGGGGTGCGGGGTACGGGGTGCGGGGTGCGGGGTGTGGGGTGCGGGGTGTGGGGTGCGGGGTGTGGGGTGCGGGGTGCGGGGTGTGGGGTGCGGGGTGCGGGGTGTGGGGTGCGGGGTGTGGGGTGCGGGGTACGGGGTGTGGGGTGCGGGGTGCGGGGTGCCGGGTGCGGGGTGTGGGGTGGAGTGCAGACTCTGAGAGCCCATGGCGCTCTTGTGGCTTGAGTGGGGAACCCGGAGGAGGCGCTGGCGGAGGACCTGTGAGGTAGGTTTTCTTCCTTTAGAGGAAGAGGATGTTCTTTGATGCCATAGGGGTTGGGTGGAGAGAATGCTGAGTGCCAGCATGTCTTGTGGGCACTGAACCCAATGGGAAAGGAGGTGAGAACACAGAAATTACAAACCTAGGGGGTCCTGGTGAGCACGGGGAATTTGTGTTTGCAGTTGTGACGTTTTAGGAAGACGATTCTACATCCATGGGAGGCCGCCTGAGCAAGCACAGCCTGGAATGTGAGACCCCAACGGCAGAACGTTGGCAGGAGGGGCATCAAAAGCCCTCATTCCTTGCAGTATTGTGATCCGTGCCTTGGGAAATGATGTGTGGCTTTAAGTCATTTCCATAGGAACAGAATCCTTTTCCGATTCCCAGAAGGAGGGCAGAGACCCTCCTGGTGTTCAGCAACAGAACCAAGCAGTTCAGGGGCCAGGAGGGGCCACGGGTCATGCTTCCCCTTGTTGAATTCCAGAAAACTAGGGCAGGCAGGGAAGGCGAGGGGCTGCCTGTTTCCCAGGTCTCCTTGGCTTTTGAGCCTATCTAGGCGTGGTTTGGTTCCTTCCCATCTGTGAGCCTCCTCCAGGGCCTGCTGGGCAGGGATCGGGGAGCAGGGAGTGGTGAGGTGGGGTGCGGCGCAGCTGGGATTGGGGCTGCACCCTGGGCCTCCTGGCCCCTGTGTGGCGGCACCTGCTGGAGTGAACGTTGGTCCTGTCCTGTGTGCTGGGCCCGGGAGGCGTGTGCTTTTCTGGAGGATTTGCCACCTCCCCTGCCAGAGCTTGCTGGTCCTCAGGAAGGTGGTCGCCCTCACGCACTCGCCCCATGGCATCTGCATTGCTCATGCCTCATGCCACATGGACATGGCTCCACAGCCCTGCCTCTGGACGTTTCCCGGTGCCCCATGGGCTCTGCATGTTGGCATCCAATGGGGCCTCTCCGCTGAGCCCTGCTCCCGCCTCTGCAGCCACTGAGGTTCAAGCCTCAGCACTCCCAGCATGGTCTCTGCCTCCCGTCTGCCACTTTCCAGCTAGACTTTCATGGGGTCTTCAGGGTGAAAGGAGCGCCCTTCTGTGGAAAGTTATGTGTTCCCCCCCAACCCAGGGCCTGCTTGGCACCCTTCACCCCGTCCTTGCCCTCTGCCGGTCCTCTCAGTAAGAGGACACTGAGGCCCAGCTGCAGTGAGGTGAGCAGGGGCCCTGCTTTCCCTTGGGATCTGCTCTCCCCTCCCTTAGGAACCGGCCACCTACCCCTGCTGATTGGGCCAGCAGACCCTCCTCAGGCCCACGTGGCCCAGTAAGCCCTAGAAGGGCCAGCTCCAGCACGTCGTGACCCACAGAAACCTCCTGTGGCCTCAGCTCCCTTGTGTCATGACCCACGCAGAGACCTCCTGTGGCCCCCACTGCTGGGGCACAAGCCCTGAACCAGAACGCGGAGCCACAGCCTGCTTCATTAAATGAAGCAACCGTAGGAGGAAAGTTTAAGTGTATTTACTTGGATTAAAAAATAAGGTGGGGGCTGGAGGCAGAGGCTCTCACCTGTAATCCCAGCACTTTGGGAGGCCGAGGTGAGTGGATCACCTGAGGTTAGGAGTTTGAGACCAGCCTGACCAACATGGTGAAACCCTGTCTTTACTAAAAATACAAAACTTAGCTGGGCATTGGTGGTGAGTGCCTGTAATCCCAGCTGCTTGGGAGGCTGAGGCAAGAGAGTCACTTGAACCCAAGAGGCGGAGGTTGCAGTGAGCCGAGATCACGCCACTGCACTCCAGCCTGGGCGACAGTGCAAGACTTTGTCTCAAATAAAAAAAAGGTGGATTGTGAATCTGAATGGCATTGAAAAGTCATTGGTTTAGGAGTTCTGGATGGAATTTGTACCAACAAAGAATGGGTCTTCTTCCTATTTATGGGATACTTTCAAAAAGTCATCATGCATCCTAGGCCATAAGCATTTCCAGAATAAACATCAGTGACATAAACTTTGTTCACTGAGCATAATCCTTTAAAATCAGATCATAATAAAGTTAAAACGACATAACCAAGCATTTGGATGTTAAAGAACCCTCTCCAAAATAACGTGGGTCAAGATGGAAATGACCCTGCATACAGTTACAGAGGCCATGGAAAAGCACACGGGATGTAGCAGCGCTGGGCTTGCAACCAGATTCAAAGCTGCATTGCTCTTATTAT